CACCGCCCCCCGCCATGGAGGCCGCCATGACGGGCGTCACGTGACCCGCGCTGCGGAGGTCAAGTGGGCCACCGGCAGCCACTACTTCCGGTCGGGGAGCCAACCGGGGCAGAAGCACCCTCGGGGGCCGGGGCCGACAGGGGCACCCAAAACAGAAGCGAAGCCTCGAGCTATGGGGGCGGGGTGCCTTTCTGAGAGGCACCGGGGGTATTTATAAACTGCCCCTCTCCCCCAGGGGGGCTGGAGGGAGCAATGACAGGGGTGGGGGCAAGGCAGAAACAGTACAACTGCTCCCCAGGGGCAGGGGTAGACCAGGCACCAGGAGGGGTAACACAGCCCCCACCTGCCAGCAGCCCTGGTGCCAGCTTACATGAGCAACCACTCACTTAAAAAGTCAGTCTGTAAGGTGCAACTCTGCCCCAGCTGCTCCCAGCTGACTGCCTCAGAGCTTGGGGGATGGCACTCAGCTCCCTGCAGCATCAAGGGGCAAAACCAGGCCCTCGGCCATCTGCTTTTCTCTGGAGCCTGTGGTTGGAGCATCATACCCAGCCCTAGGGGCCCAGGGGACTTGGCTCAGAGTGCAGAATGCTGCAGCTGAGCTGTGGGCTCCAGGCTCAGGGCAGGGACCCAGGAGCAAGCTCAAAGCTCCAGTGCAGAGGGAGAGTAGATGAGCTGCTGGCCTTTCCTGAGCTGCAATTCTATAGAGCCCAGGTCTCAGCAGGCTTTGCCCAGTGCCCACAGCAGCTGCACCATGCATTCCCATTTCTGCCTCCCCACTGAGGACAGCAAAACGCAGCCACACTCAGGAGGGAATGACTGTGCCTACCTGTGGTATGACGGGATCCCCACAGGCCAGCAAAGCACTGAGAGGGCCCAAATAATTCACTGTCACGCCCATAGTAAAGCAGATCTGGCAGTGCCCTGTGAGGGGTCCAGCTCATGGCTAGGGGGACACATGGACAAGCACCTGTCAACCAAACACCTGAACCATGACTGAAACCAGTCCAGCCAGCTTCTGGACCTGGCCCAGCTTGAAGTTGAAAGTGGTTGCCCTCCGGGTAAGGAAAACAATGACATGGCTACAGCACGTGTACAAAAGGAACAAGGCTTGATATAAATATAGCTTTACTTTAGGAAGGCAAGATCCAGCTCGGGGGATTCTGAATCCCCAGACAAGTACAGCAACCCAGACCATATCTACAGTAGAAACATAGCAACTTTAGAAACCCCTAAAAAGTGCTGAGGAAGGGAGGCTCCGTAGGCCCAGCACCACACGCCCACCCACAGGGGGACAGACAGATCCACCCCCAGCGCTGCACTTGGTCCTTGGCCACTGGGTACAGCCCTGCTTTGGAAATCCGCACGCTCCACCCAGTGCTCGGAGCCAGCCGCTTCCTTCTCTATAACATGCAGTTAAGATTGCAACACCTGAAGCTCCTCCTGGTCTGCCACTGCAGCTTCAGGGAAAACGCAGCTGCAGAGAGGACGCTGGCAGCTTGAATGCCCAGCTCCATGGGCCTTGGTCTGCCCCACTTGGGCTTCAGCATGGGGCTGGGAGGTGTGGACACGCCCTAAGAGCCAGTTGGCAGGGAGCCACATCCAGGATGGCTGGCACACAGTAGTGGATTCCAAGTACCAGCCGGCACTGGGGGAGCACAAGGGGGACCCTTGCCCCCAACAGGAACCTCAAAAACAAGGGCTTGTGCCCAGTAGAAAAACTAAGGAAGCTCTGCTCCCCAGCAGGCCAGGATCTCTGCCCTAATGAGTCAAAAAAGAAAAGGAAATAAAAACAAGCAGGAAATTACAGGGCCAACTTATAACCCTCATTGGCAGCGGCGCTGCGAGCAAAAGGCAGCGAAGTTATTAAAAAAAGGGGAACAAACGGGAGTGCAAAGAGTCAGAGGCTGGGCTGAGCCGCAGGCTTGACAAGCCCCACCGAGCACTGCATCTTGGGCACACTCTGAGGGATCCCACAGGGCAAGGCAGGGAACCCAGCAGTTCCACCTTGGTGCTGCAGCATCAACAGGACCCCGCATGCCTCTTAGTTGTCCCCAGCATGGGACCCACAAGCATCAATGCCACTGCAGGCATCACGGTTGCAGCGAGGAACCTCAGGGAGTCCAGTCATGTTCCTTTCTCTGAAGCAAAGTTTTTAAGGTTGGAAACACGTGGATCTTCCTGAGGCCTCCTGTCCTGACCCAGGACCTCAGGCAGGATGGAAACACGGCTCCCAGTGACAGCACTCCAAACCCAGCAGCTTCTTCAGGCCATCACTTCGGATCCCTGGTAATGCCAAAGGTGGCAGAGATGGCTCTGCTCTCGCAGGGATACATCTCCATGGCTGAGGGAGGTCCAGTTCAGTCCAGACATCCACCTCCACTCTGCCTGCATCACAGGGCAAGGAAAGCAGCAACCACTGCAGAAAGGGCTCCACCATCCCCTGGCCAGGAAATGCACAGGGCAGCCGAATCTGTCACACGCACACTTAAAAAACTCAAAATCCAGATAATATTAAAAAAAAGGTTTTTTTACAAGATTTACACGTCAGGGAATGGAGAGGAAGAAGGGGAAGGGGTGGGGGGGGTTAGAGCATGAGCGAGCTTTGTCGTGAAGGGGCTAAAATATCCTCTTCCGCTTCAGGTAGGAATCTGCATAGTGGCCACCTAGGCCCTGAGAATGCTGCCCCACGTAGCCACCCTCTGGGCTGGGCTCTGGAGACGGCAGCAGGTGGGAAAAGGCCCGTTTCTGCCCGCCGACTGGGGTCTGGAAGAAACAGATGAGGGGGGCTGAGTGGGCAAGCATGGGCAGGGAACTTGCAGAGCCAGCAGCCAGCTGCCCCCCCAGCTCCCAACCACTCACCTTCATGTGGGAACCATGAGAGTGACTGTTTAGTCCCAGACCCAGGATGTTGTCCCCAGTGCCCACTGGGGGCATCCCGACAGCCTGGAAGAGAAGGGGAAGGTCAGACTATACTTTCAGGGATTATTTAGATCAAGTGTAAACCAAGTGAGGGTATCTGAATCCCAAGATCCTTGGGTTTAAGCCTGCACATAGGATGCCTGACAATGGATTTGGGAGTATTTGAAGTCCCAGGATGAGAGCCTGGGACAGCATGCTTGCCAGTTGTAGTGCCATACATGGTGTTTAATGTTCTGCCTGCTTGTTTGAGTTCTGCCTGCTCAATCAATATGGGTTTTGGAACAATTGAGTTCTGGTCAATCAATGTGATTTGGAACTGATTTGGCTGATTTAACTTGGAACATGAAATATATTACATTGGTAGTGAGGGCCAAGCCCAGGGCCCAAGTAGGCACCAACTACCCTGTTCCCTAGGGATGGGGGACACAGGGGCCATTCAAGTGAGCCAGGGGTCAGTCAACCCCAGGTGGGGCTGAGAACCACATGAGCTAACTGGACATGGATTATCTGCAAGGGGACGTAGAGCAGCAGCCAGGAGATGCCTGGCAGGGGAGTTGGGTTCTGCCTGGCCCCTGCAATCCAATGACACCAGGAAGAGCATGATCAGTCCCGTGTTGAGCCCTGCCTGCTTTAACAAGACTGGGACTCAGCCCTGCTGGGGGGCGGGGGCAGCTCAGACTGTGGATGACACCTCACCATCCCAGATGAAAGCAACTGCAGCTAAAATCCTCACTTTGCCCCAGCCCCAGTCCAATCTGTGCTAAGGCCCAAATGCTGCAACAAGTGCCTTACTTTGTTCAGGTGGCTTTGCTTCAGCCCTGCTTGTAGGCCACTGGTGAAGTAGGAGCTGGGTGACCCTGAGTAGAAGGGTGGCAGGGGTGACCCCAGACTGCTGCGCTCAAATGCAGGGGATGATGGTGCCGGTGCTGGCATCTGGAAGAGAAGCAGCTCCATGTTATGGCCCCGGGCAGAGCTTGGAGATCCATCCATGTGCCCTCCCCGCCCTGGTGCAACAGACAGGACAGCAGGCCTGGAGGCAGCTGCCCCAGCACCCCAAAGGCCCCGTGGGTCACTTGGAATGGCCCAGGCACCACAGGCCAGAGGTGTGTAGCAGCACAAGCAAAAGTGGAAGAACAGGGCACTGAAGAGGGCAGAGGTGGAAGCAGCAGGTGGATGTGGGCCCAGGCACCACACACAAGAGTGGCAGAACTGACAGCTCAGTTCCTGGAACCTTGGAGCCTCCCCGACACTCACCTTGTGCCGGCCATGCCCAAAGCCGCCCAGCAGGGGCCCTGCAGGCTCTCTTGTCGGGGGGTACAGACGGGATCCCAAGTCCTGCCCAGAGAGAGATAATGTTTGTATACAAGTAGCAGCCAGGAGCCCTGCTTGCAGGCTGCAGCAGAAAGAGGGGGGGACTAAGGGGGAGAGATGTGTGTGCGCAGAACTTAGGTGTCCCACACCATTGTACGCAGCCCCCCC